GGGGTCTGAATACTTTCCGTACCCACTGTATGTATATGTATGTGTGTATGTGTATATATATATATATATATAAATAATATGGATGTATGTGCTCTTTATAAATTCCCCAGAGTAGAACATTCATTGGACCTTTTTAAATTCTTGTTTATGGTCCTTTGAGACTGGTTATTTTGGGATGCGTTTGTTATCAAGCAGTAATGTAAATGTAAGGGTATCTCTGACAACTTACTTCAAAACGTGGACATTCATCTTGTAAAATCTTTCATGTTGTTTGTCGTGAATGAGCAATAAGACAATTGAGTTCTTTTTATGTCTTATTTTAAATAATATTATTTTTATTTTGTTTCTGAAAAGCTGAGAGTGAAATGTTATCTTCATACTGCAACTCAAATCCAGAAGTCCCGTATTACAGTGCTTTGAAAAAGAAAAATTCATTGGATATGCTATCCCAAACTTAAGTGGAACGTCCTCAGCACAGCATGAGAACAGGACATCTGGGGACAAGAAGTTAGACATTTTCTGGAATACTAGGACGCTGCAGACGAGTGACTTGAGACTCAAGAGTTTTCTCTGTTTTGCTTCTATGTTGAGGTCTTCTATTTTTAATATTGAGTTCACAGCGTCTAAAATTTGAATACTTCGATTAAAAGTTTATATTAATGGCTCTTCTAATCAAGAGGCTGAAATTTAATCTAGTTGGGATAGCCACATCTCTCTCTCATTCAAAGCGTGTGACAGTTATTGGAGAATGCAGTGGAAGGCAGCTGCAGCGTACCAAACAATCAATCTTCACGTTCCTAAGAGTTTAGTCCCATCTGAAAGATTCATTTGTTCCGAGAAATTCCCTCTTGGGCTTGAGTGTGCGTATATGTTTGAGACGACTTCATCCGAAAAACTGTATTCCTCCATGTGTCAGTTTATGCAAAGTTTAAAGCCTCCTTTTCAGTTTACTGTAGGTATGATAAGAGCTAGAGCTTTTGATGTCTTCCTTAACCAGCTCTAATGCACAGGGGACATGATGGCAGCCCTTCATATTGCTCTTAGGAACCCTCCAATCAACAGCAAGAACCCAGCAATAAAGGTACAGGCTGTTTTAACGAGAACTTTTCAGAATGAAGCATATGGGGCGCCGACTGCTCAATTGCATCTTTCCTGTCTTTCATTCTCTCAGGAAAGAGCTCAGGCTGCGGTATTAAGGGTTCTGACATCATTTAAGAGCAGCGATATAGAGCCTGCTGTTAAATCTCTCGACAAGAATGGAGTCGATCTCCTCATGAAGTACATCTACAAAGGCTTTGAGAGGCCCACAGAAAATAGCAGTGCCATATTGCTGCAGTGGCATGAAAAGGTAAACCCAGGCTATGAAGAGTGAGGTGTAAAGGGGCATTATTTTGTTTTACAAAAACCATTGGATAATACTCCTTTTTGGAGAACTTCAGATAACATAAAACGGTTTTAATGGCAAATGTGGAACACGTTTTTCTTTCTGTCTTTGATAACAGGCATTTGCCATTGGAGGACTAGGCTCTATTGTTCGAGTTATGACAGCCAGGAAGACTGTATGACTACCTGACCGGACCTGAAACAGTGACGCTAAGAGACGCCGAGGACACAAGGCAGATTTGCCTGTTACTTAAAGGAAAGAAGAAAAGACCATCGTTTTGAATGCTACTGTCTTGATGAAGAAAAAACCTATGAACTGTAAACGGTAGAGAAACACCGAAGCACTCGTTTCAAACGGAAAAAAATTTGCTTGTGTAAAAGTGAAGTACCGTTCTAATGTCAGTATATCATAAATTATTCTGATATACTGGCATCAGAAAGATTTCAATCCGACATGGTTTTGAGTGGGAAAAATTGTACTGTGGAAGACAAAACTATTCAGCTGTGTGTGACATGGTGAATACAGCATACTGCATATTTAAGATCGAGTGAGTGCGAGCAGCAAAAGTGAGCTAGTACATATGAGGTTGTTATTGGATATGAGGTGTTTTCTGTGCTAAAAAAATTTATTTAATCAATGTTTTATTTTCTTATTTTATTTCACATCTTTGGTCCCATACTCTTTTGTTATGTTTTTGTGCAGAGATTTAATAATGGAACCAGTGATGTACACCAAAGTGGTAGAGTGGGGATCATCATAAAGTGCCTGCTACAATAAAGTAAATGGATCTCCTTTATGTCGTCATCTGTGTTTGATTCCTTTTTAATGCAGTATTTATGTAGAGTATGAACCTGTTATTATTTGCCTCACCGGCGCTATAATAAAATGGTAATACTGTACCACAGTCATGTCTACCCTGTTTGACCGCTCTATCAGGACGGTGACCTACAGAAGCAGGAAGGGCAGGGTAATTAAGATAATACATATCAGGAAATGAAGATAAAGGGGTCTATATAGTATTCTGAAGGATGTGCTACTGATAACTTCTATCATGCCAAGACCAGTTCCTCTGGGATATCATTGAAGGAACAGGGCACTGTAATCTCACTGCTGGGCGGCACAAGAACCAGGAGACGGATTCATCTATAAATATACAAAAAAAATTCACAGTGTATAATATGGATTGAATCTACTTTTTGTTTTTACTCCTGGGAATTTGAGTATATGAGGAGTTTTACAATGCAGTCTTAATTAGGGATGCACTGATATTTAAAAAAATCTGGCTGACAATTATTTGTATGTTATGGCTGATACTAAAAACTAATATCAATCATTTAAAGCATTGCAACACTATAATGGATACTGGATTTAAAAAGTAATATTTCTGAAATTTTATAAAGACTGCATTTAACAGCGTTTTTACGTTACAGTAAGTAAGTGTAATAAGATAGTATAAGATATCTTATATAAGATATATAAGATAATTTAATATAAAAAGACAATGAACAGAAAAAATGTCCAATATTAACACGAATCAATGGAAATATATTTTAAATATCTAAAATATCATGCACCCCCAATCTTAATCACTTCTGTATCAGTTATAGTGCTATTAGTAAATAAAACGGATGAAGGAACACCACAAATTAAGCAAAACAGTCATAAACTTTTTAATGTTCTTAAATAGCATTCTTAAAAACAAAAAGCTTGCATTTTTTGGTATCATCACATTTTTTCTGTATTCTTTTTTTTTTCCTGCATTTAACAACAAACATCAAATATAATTTGGCAACAGATAAGACAAAACAGTTTAGTGATTAAAAACACATGACAATTGGACAATGCAAGTATGTTCAACTAGCAACTCTAGAACCCCTTAACTTATAAAGAAAGAGTATTCTGACCATTACATCACGTTTGAAAATGTTCCCTCCCACAACAGTAGGAACTGGCAGAAATCACCCGTACTACACCTTAGATCTGGCCCCATGTTTACAACAGAAAACAAATGCAGCTGATTTTCTTTGTGCTCCTTCTAATCATGGCCGCTAATGCATTTACAGGATGCATTAAAATGGAGCAGGGGGCATCAACATTTAACAGATAAACTAATTAACATGCATCTACCACTGAAGTTTGGGCAATTGGTAAGAAAACACTTTGTTAAAATTATTTTAAAAAGGGTATTGCATTTCCCCCTACATTTTAGGTTGGTAAGCTTCTGTTGTGGTACATTACATGTATAAATGCTTAAAGTCTGTATTCACCCCTGTGCTCTCAGCTAAATAGTGCGGTGTGAATACAGGACAGTCTGAGCAAGAACTTGTAGGTTCCTGAAAAGTTATACTTAAATACACATACTAAATGAAATAAGGCAAAAACATATGACAGTCAGTCACCAGTCAAGGTCAGAGAGGAAACAGTGACATCCACCATCTGTTTCCCTCTTCATCTCCATCCAGCCCTTCTCCTTTTGGCAAACTAAAATGACACAATAAAAAAAGCTAGGCCATGAAAAATCTGTGCCTGCGAGAGCACAGACAACTCGGTTGTCTGCTTAATTTGGGCAGTAAATATTCCAAGTGAAGGCTTGGCAGTGATTTGTTAGCAAACTTCTCTCTTTTTATACAAGAGGATTATTCCAAAAAAATATTCGATATTTGGGTCAAAACGTGCAAAACTATCAACTACAGACAGAGAGATGACAGTAAGAGCACAAGAATCGTTTGGGACATTGTGCTCTCCACATGCAAGAATCTTTTGGTCCCCATCGAATGGCCACGATCAAACCTGCAGTTCGAGGGGAAAAGTCGGTAAATGTTGAAAAACCTGTCACCATGTATGGCATTTTCTAACACAGATCACAGATGGAGAAAATGATGAGCTATTTGCAAAGCGTGACATAACGGAATGATCAGACATGCCTCTTGCCAACAGCACAATAAATAACATCAGAATCAAACTTAAATAGTGCAAGTAAAGTGCAAGGCTATTATTGTAACTGTAATCATCGTAATTAAAAACATCATGACGTAATGAAACGAACGAAACACTGATCACATCACTTCTTATTAGACCGACGCAGTGCACTTGTCCTTGAGACAGATGGGGTTGTGAAAGAGGGACACTCTTATGCCATGATCCTTGGAATGTCAAGCTGACTGCACTGGTGTGAAGCAGCGGGAGGGTGCACAGTTGAGACAGTGGCATGGTCCATTCACAGATTAGACAAAAGAACACTGCCCCTGTCACATGCAGAGGGTCATCTTTTCACAGATCTGCCACAACGAACAACCCAGACAGACACACTTCTCTGCATCACATTGACTTCTTATAGAACTATACATATATATTTATATATAGATATATACACAAATTTGTACTTATATACAGGAGTACGCCTGTACGCCTCTGTGACACTATAAAAGAGAACTCTGTTGGCTATTGGTGTCCACAGCACACATGGAATAAGACATTAGGTCATTACATCAGCTATGCAAGTATGGGCTTACCACACTACCGAGGCATGCTAAAAAGAATCTCTTTTGAAGAAACGCTCTATAAAAATGGAGATTCTGGTGTCAACGTAGCGTTAATGAATTAACGACCGGTTAGCTGATGACCAAAATAACCCGAAAGAGGCACAGTACGGTGGACCTCCTTCAAAAGACCAGGCTAAAGTCTGCGAAATTCGTGTCAAGACAGAAAAACAAACACGTTTTAATGAACGAAAACAAACAAAAAAAAGCCAAGGCGGAGCAAATAAATGCAAACATGCAGCACGCTCCCTATGGAAAAAGTTGTGTAAACGTTGCAGAGGCAAAGTGTTGAGAAGGAAAACAAACGTCCTTCTCCAAAATGTGTTTTGCCAAAGCCGTAGGCTCATCTTTTTGGAAGAATCTCCCTGGAATTACACCAATTCACATAAAAAAAAATTTTCCAGGGCTCCTTTCTTCTCACTCGTCATTTTGTGCTCTCTTATCACCTTCAGAAACGGCGATAGCTGCCTTCAAAAGGTCTGAACGCCCGTGTGCCTGCACTTGTACACCCATACGATACATGCATGTAGTACATTTTCCTGTATGTTGGCAGCAACGCTGTCACATCTGCGTGTGTGTAGCTCCTTAAAATCGAGAAATACATGTGAACTTGACAAATTGTAAATATCTGCCCACAAAGATGAGATATTTTCTCTTGAATAGTTATTAAACTATCTAGATCTAATGAGATTAGGTTAAACAACTAGCTTGTTCAGAAGAAACTACCTACAACTTGTTTATGCTTGTGTATGGGCGTGAGCGTGTGTGTGCGAGTGTCTGCAGGTTGGCATTGTGCCACCATGTGGTCAATAGTTATCCAACATGCCATCAGAGAAGAGGTTTTGCACGTCCAACATGGCCGCCAGCTCCAGCACGTGTTTCTGTAGAAGGCTGCTCTCCACCATTTCCTGTTTCGGCAGCGGAGGGTATGATTCTGGAAAACTCCTTGCTTCCTGTAACATGCACACAGAAACATATTCTCATCCAGCTGCTTTGTGACAATATCTTGTCCGTCAGTGGTCCTCAAAACTGTGGAGTGTGTAGTGCCACCAGGAGGTATACAACACGACTGAAAAAAAAAATCACAATACTAAAAAAAATTTTTTTTAAATTAAATGACAATTTTTCAATGTTTTATATCTATTTCTAAGTCTAACACAGTTTAGAAATAGATAAAGCTTTGTATGTCTAATACTCCACTGGATGTTTGACAATTATTTTAGGATCGTGGGATACAAACAATGTTATTTTTGTATTATTTGTATACTATTACAGTATTTATTAATATCTTGAAGTAGCTTTAATTTTTATATATTCAGTTTTAATTTTATGTGCTTTTCTAATTTTTTTATTTAGCTTTTTTTAGTTTTAGTTTTAGTAATTTTAGCATTTAAAACTTTTATTTCATTTAGTTGCCAAGGCAACATTTCAAATTTTTGTTTAATTTGTTTTAAGTTTCTCATCTAATATTTATTTTTCATTTCAATTAATGAAAGCATTGTAGAAATAGCTGTAGTTTTAGTTAACACTAACAACACTGGGTACAAATGGCTGTTGATCAGTATAAGGCAGTGGTCGGGAACCTATGGCTCGCGAGCCACAGCTGGCTCTTTGACAAAAATCATGTGGCTCGCCAGATCTCTCACCCTTTACCAACAAATTATCTATTACAAAAACTATACATCACTAGAGATCAGCAATTCCTTTGTTGTAGAGACCACATAAGCTGATAAAATATTTAAAATAATAATACATTTTTTGTACTGGCCAAAGTGCGCGTTCAGTGCTGTTCGCGAGAGTCATGACAGCAAACCACTGACGTGTCTATGGTAACGTAGAGCTCCTGCGCTCAGATTCGTAACGTTAACTTGTTTGTAGTTATAGCGAAAATAAAGATTTTTGGAACAGCAGAAAAAGTGTAAAAGTATGTAAAAATGACAGGACTGAAACATGTACTTTGTTTTATAGAAGATGGTGTTCTCCTGTGCCAAGAGCCAGTATGAAACATTTCGCCTGTTACTTACGCTTTTTTCCGCGCAGCTTTCAGCGAGTGGGACTGTTAGCATTATTAATAAAGGAACGTGAATGAATGAGACAGTAAAGAGTGGGACATGCTTGATATTTTCAACACTGTAAACCCCTTGTAAATCAACATC